CCTTGAGCTGAAGAGCTGAAGGACAATACCCAGGCCGAGTTCAAGCCCCACGACCGACCAAAAAAATAAAAAAACATGCAAAATTTGCCATGCTGAGATACATTTGGCATATTTTTGAACTACTACACAAGCTAAACCTAAATCTTAAATTTGGATAGTACCAAGGTCAAATGTCTCTCAAGAGTTAAGCCAGCTATGACGGTAAACAAGACTGTCTCAAAGAAACAAGGAAATAAGTCTCCCATTCACGTGCAACTTAGCCACCTATATCTTCATCTCCTGAAATATTACTCAATATTTTTATTAAAAATTCTAACTTCCAGAAGTTGGGTCAGAAGGTTAAATATTAACAGCAGTATCTAGACTTCTTGCAGGTCTGGCTTTTTTTCTTTTGGCCCCAGTTAAGTGATAAGCTGATGCCTCCTAGTGACCAACTTGTGTAATGCAGCTGAACAGCAGCCAGCAAAAACAGCACTTGAAGCTCTGTAAGTACTAAGTCTGGAGATGTAACCGCTCCATGTTAGAGCACTTGCCTTACAATGAAGTCCTGGGTATGTCCCCCAGCATATTTGTGGATCGAATAATGTTGAACAGCTGTTTGATATTCCACCCATCCAGTAGATAGCCTCACCCAAGTTCTATTTCACTTACCAGTGCCCTTCAGTGACCCTAGTAGTTGGTAGAACCTTTCCACTTGAACTACATGCCCAACCTACCACTAGCTTGTTACACTACAAAAACTTTGAATGGCTTTCCATTCATGTTTTGAGATCCCTTTTTCTTGAGTGGAAAGCCCTTCATAAGTCTCATGGGCCTTTAACTCCTTACTCTTCCACTCAGTCTTAAGGGAGCACCATTTACCCATTGTGTGCTCACTGAATGATTTACCTTCCTGAATCCTTCTAATACATCCGTGATGTACTAGACACATGCAAATGACAAAGTGCGTCGATGAAGTGGAGCAGGGGTTTGGTTTGCAACTGAAATACTGGACTGAAGGCCTTGTGTGTTCCACAAGTACATACCAAGGTCATCTCCCCTGACTTATCCTTCCCATGTACATGTGGAAAGATCATTGTACCTCATTGGACTTAGACTTTTCTGCCATAAGCTTCTATACTAGAGATTATATCTCTAAAATTCATAACCCAGAACTTTTTTGAAGTTGCAGAAAGAATTTTAGAATCAGTGTAAAGAGAACATTTCCTGCCTCCCATCATATTGAAATTGGGAGTTAAAAACTCAAAATGGCGGTTCTTATCTGCAGTCTGTATGCTTTCTGAACTGTGAGAATGCACATGGTCATGTTGTCAGGCAACTTTTAATCCTTAATCATGCCCCAGAACGATTTAAGTAAATTGCTGTTAAGTAACAGGGCCCCTGTTAGTTAATACATCCTGTTAGAAAACAAGACTGACTTGAACTGGCAAGACTAGTTCAGAACTAAAGAGCCAAAGAATAGGAAGTTAAATGGCCTAATCCAAGTTTAAGATACCTGACCTCAAGAGAAACATCCATCTCAGTTATCCCCAACATCCTGCCAATATTAAGCTGAAGATGGGGTAATAAAAGCTTGTAACAAGGAATCTAATCAAGATTTTACCAGCCAGGTAATGGTAGCTCACACCTGTAACCACAACTACCCAGGAAGCTGAGATTTGAGGACAGCAGTTCAGTGCCCAGGTAGCAAAGTCTATGAGGATCTGTATCTCCAATTTATTCTTTTCTGAGG